TCGTTATGCCCGTTATGCCGGGGACCGTCGTGTACCACTCTCTCCTGCATGATTCAATTTTTTGTAAAATTTTTCAGTTCAATTAAATTTTTTCTAATTCATTTTACCACAAATTTATCACAATTAAAAAAAAAAATTATTTTTCGTTACAATTTTTTTTTCGAGTGGTCCATTATGCCCCACATATTACATATTGGCCCAAAATATTTTAAAAACATTATAGAAGTCATAACTTGACGGAAATTGAAAAAAAAAATTTTTACCTAATTTTTGAGGGGGGCCGTCGTGCCCCGGGGGGCTTTCGTGCCCCAGGTTCCTCTACATTTTATATGAAAAATTCTCAGAATTCAGACGATAAAAATGAAAAATGGGGATAAGACTAAAAAATCACTTTTTTTTCAATAGTATTTTTTCAAGGACTCTGAGTATATGCTGTGAAAAGTAAATAATTTCATCAAAAAATGGAAATTTTTTCGCATAAGAAACTGCATAATTCGTATATTTACAAAAATTGTTTATATTTGCAAAAAATTAATGAAAATTTTTTTTTAATTGAAAAAATAACTACAAAATATTCGAAATATGGGTCATTCTCAGTTAAGACGTAAATCGCTTATTGATAAAACGCGGCACGACAAAAAATTTTAAAATTTAATTAAATTTTATAATGTTTCGATCAAAACAATCATTCTAAACATGTCTGCAAGGCGGTCAGTCAATTTATTAATTTTATCTTGTTTTATAAAAAACCAGGGGAGAGACTTAATCCAGGAGAGAGACTTGATAAACAGTATGTAAAAAAAACATAATAATCGATTTTTTTCAATGAACTATACTGTGAATATATTTATACGTTAAATTAAATAACAATATGCAACCTTTAAAGAATAAAAAAACAGTAAAAAAAGTTCTAGTTTGAAGTTTTCATATCTCCCCTGGATGTCGTGTCTTTCCCCTGGCCTTTAGAAGACAGGGGAGATACAGACAGGGGAGATACATTTTAGTAACAAAAACAGAAGTAATGACAAATGTATTTATTGTACGCGATTAACCAAGAAAACTTAGAATCTATACACAAAAAGAAGTAAATATATAGATGAATTAAAATTTTTTGATAAACATTTTTAAAATAAAATTTACCAGGGGAGAGACTCTATTCACTCGTTCTCACCTGTATCCACAGAGTATCAGTAATGAAATAAATAACAAAATGACTGCGCACCTAGTTCGAGTGGTGCTGACTACAAAGTATAAACTCAACGACATTCGTTCAAGGTCTTCAAGTCGCGCGAGTCGGTAAACAAATGCCGATTTTATAGGAAAATAAACATGCCAGGGGAGGAGACGCTAAATGTGGGGGACAAACTTAAACGTAATTTTTTTTAATAAAAAAAAAATATCATGCAATTTTACTCGTTTGATTACGAAAGTTAATTTAGTATATTTTGATGAAATATATAATTTAAATAATTTATTTGATTTCTAAGCACTTTAAATTACTAATACTTAAACAGAATCAGCCCGGGGACAAGCCAGGGGAGAGACATTTTCTGACTTTGAGATGAAATTGTGACTAAATTAAATAAAATTAAGAAATGAATTTGAGTGACTACTTACATGAGCACGAGTTTTAAGAGATAATTACATTTTTTTAAATAAATTTTTTTAAAAAACATGATTTTTCACCGTGGACGTCGAATTTACGTCTTAACTGAGAATGACCCATATACCAAAAAATATGATTTGGATTAAAAGGATAAAAATTACTTTTTTGAATTAAGGTCAATTTCCAAAATCTCCTTTATTATATCACAAAATATCAAAGAATATCGATAAAATCTTTACACTGGACTTTACATGATAAAGTCGGATAAATTTCAATTATTCATTGGTAAGATTACCGATCAAAAATTTCTTGAAGTCATTTTATATCAGGATAATCAGTTCTAGTTTGAAGATAGTTAAATTAGTTAGTTTTATATTTACCAATGATGTTAAAATTTTCCTGGTTTATCTTCAAGGTCTTTTTATCTTCCTGTTTCCTGAGTAATCTTTTCAAACAAGGTAGAAGACATGCGACAAAAGTATAATTGACCCATTCGCTTCGGCACAAACTCAACGGAGCAATCACCATTCCATATATTACTCTGCTTCCACTGGTGAGATATATACTTCATTAGTATCTATTCATTAGAACATAATATTTCATTTTTATCTATATACAAATTTATGATTTCTTACTCTTTACCGTTTGTAGAGTATACAAGCCCTCCTTCACATCCTGGAATTGCATGTATATCCGTCAACATGACGCATTTATCTATCCCTAATACATTGCTCACTATTCCTTTTGAGATGGAATTAATGAACACTGGATTCCCGAATGGCGTGGATTCTATTTCTACGTCATCACCTTTTTCAGGAATTTGTTGGGATAATTGACTGTCACAAAAATAATCCAACATTTTATGAACATTTTCAACGCTGCATTCATTCACATTATTCACGTTTTCATCTTTTTCATTAAGATATATTACTAAAATTATCGGTAAAAGTATTCTATTCAGCCTGTCAAAAGTTTCACTTAAGTCAGTTGAAGAATATAATTTTGTCAAAAAGTCAATCAGTAAAGGGCAACTCCATAAGCTGACAACAACACCATTTAAACTTTTTACTTCTGTGTTTTGTGTGGATGATTTTGAAATTTTTCGACATAATTTCACTTGAACTTTTAAATGATTTTCTCTACCTGATAGATTAACTATTTCACCAGGTGGTAATGTAGAAATAAAATCTGAAAATTTTTTATCTTTTTCTATTTTAGGCTTCAATAAAATTCCATGCGTAAGGACCCAATTTTTCAATATGTGTATTCCTGAAGTATACTCAATTTCTTTTCCATTTTGTTCTACAAGTGATATTGCAACACCCTTTGATGCCATGATTTGTTTTGCTTCTAAAAAAATAAGAATAAAATTATATTTAATTTCAAGTCAAAGTACACAATAAATGAAAATGAAAATTTCCATTATATGTAATTTTATGTTTCTTTCATTACATTCATAGACAATAAAAAAGAAGAAACTAATCAAACGATGACGCAACAACGTTAATAGTATTAAGCCGCACTTCATTTAATTGCTCAATTAGTACAAATGATTGAACCTAGGAAACCACACAATTGATGGAAGATTCTATAGTCTCATTTCCTTCTTGGAATTAAAAAATTTCCAAAACAAGAAGAATTATTATTTGAGTCATAATGATCAATTTTACCGAAATTATTATTGTTGAAATACACTGGAGAAAGCAAACGAAGTTAACCAGATAAAAACATTTTTTAATTATTATTTCATCTGAAACATTGTTTACCAGTAAACGAAGAAAAGAAGTCTTTAAAATTTAGGAAGGATTATAATATTTTAGTAGAATTTACAGGTTGGCAAATATTAATATACGCGTATTTAATGCTGTTGAACTCCTAACTTATACATCGTAAGCCTACACCCAGAATAAAAGATAGGCTTCAATTAAGAATATATCGGTTATTAAAAATTTATTCTTAGACTAAAAAACATATTTTTCTTAATATAATAAATCGATTTCAATTAATAGTACCAAAAAATTAGATTTAAGCAAAAAATTTTTTGATTGGAAAACAATTTATACTTGAACTTGAATGAAAAAACTTCTCCATCCAAAGGCTTCTATTTAAGGAATTGTTTCCACAACTCAGGAAATTTTATTTCTTAGACTGAAATGTTTTTTTTTTCAAATTGAGAAATAAGACATATCGATTGAAAAATGATTTCTTTTTATTTAATTAATAAAAGGTTTCAAACAGAAATGTTTAATACTAAAAAAAAATTTTACTTCAATTAAAATATTAGTCATTTTGATTCAAACAGAGTGAGTAAAATAAGTGAGAAAAACTAAATAAGTGAGCATTTTTTTCTGAAAGGTTCCATTTTACCCCATAACCCTTTCGATCATATTAAAAATGTTGAGGGAACCATTTTATACCAAAAATATTAAAGGGTCCATCGTGGTCCCCCCCCCTGCCCTTTAGATGGCAAGTGTGACAATCAATTTACAACATATTAATATAGGGTAGAATGTACAAATATATTCAGTTCAGGACAAGTCGAAATTAAAACATTCAAGATGGTAATTGAAAAGTCGTGAATTGACCATATAATAATTTAATAATTGAAGGTGGAATCAAAATGATTTTTAATCAATATTAACGTGGTGTGTGGCCCTATTAGCTTTTATAAAGCCAACTGCATACAATATTATAATAATTGACCGACATGAATCTTCTTGGGAATTAAGTTATATGAGGAGTAATATCTAATCGCTCACTACGTAATAAGATGACTCAGAGATCTATCATGTGAGAATATGAATGAAATACACTCGCATGACTATTATTAGTAATGAAAAGAAAAAAAACAGACGAAAATAAAAAAGATTAAAGTAATATCACTAAAACCAATTTATTTTTTGCCATAAAGCATATTTTACTTTATAAGTTCTATATTTAAATCAGCACATATAGACTTCTTTTATAGAGTGGGCATAGAAATCAAAGTAATAATCACAAGGACTAAAGCTCTAGATCAACAAGAAAACAGGTATATGATAGAAAAAAAACTCTGACGTAAATTCCAGAACGTCTGTCATGCTTTTTTTATTAACTTTTTAGATTTTATTAAATTGTTAAAACTTATATCTATAATTCACTTAAATATAGAAAGTCTGCCTTTAAACACACGTGTGGCTTTTGTATAAGATATTCTGTTAAATAATAGTCATTTCCATTTGCAAGTATTCAGCATCACAAATTATGTTTACAAATACTTCTGTATGTCTTTGAAAAAGTTATTTATTTTTTTTGCAACTTTACTTGTATATCAATACTTTTTTTCGATTAATTATTAATGTTAATTTTTTCTAGTAATAACTTTAATCTATTCTAGAGTAGCTGTCACCTACATGTATATGCAGCTAATCTTGTATAATGATGTGTATTGAATTTTAAATGGTAAGAGGAACAAATTAAAAGTGGCTACGTCATTCAGTAAATGACGAAATGCTAGGTCTGTATTACCGATAATTAGAGGCTACCACTCAATTAATAAGAAAAAATAATTCATCAGAACTGAACGATAGTTATTGCTGTACTTACATTTTGAATATTATCGCTTATTTAGTTCTCATTAAAGCAAAATTGAATAAAAAATATGATCATTTTAGAGAAAAAAAAATCGTTAAAAGTATTTTTTCACTGCTCTTCATATTTGAGTTTTGTTAAAAAAAATCCTAAAAAATAAGATAAAACTTGATCACCTTGTATTGTACATTCACGTAGATAAAATTTTTTTCGAAAGGTATGTAACAATAAGAATTCAAAAAAATTTATTTCAATGAGATAAGGTTAAATATCAGAATAAAACTAACAAGTAATCGATTATTTAGTTTTTACACGATATGCATTAGTCCATAACGGAAGGGTCATGTCATGATAAAACGTAATACGCCTTATTGAGTCATCGACTTTAATAAATTTTCAATTAATGATACAATCCTAATATATCAGACAACAAAAATAACTGTGACAGTAATTTCCCAAGTATGTTGTTTACAGTATCCCGGGTCAAAAAATTTGATCTGTTTTAGGATAAATGAAAATTTTTAATATTTTTCATTCAATTTAACTTTATTATGTGTATCTATTTTATATAAGAATTTAAACTGTTTTAGCCTGTATTATTCTCAATTCAGACCAATTCGAGACCATTTTTAATGTTATAATAAAATTGTTTTTGATTGCTTCTAGACCAAAATCAGAATTTTTTGTCAGAATCATTTGGCTATTTTTGATTGCATTAAGGTCAATGAAACAGACAAAAATGTTCCATAACTTTTAGGCGGTTTTTGATCGCCTGTAGATCAAAAACCGACCTTTTACAAATTCGTTAATAATAATAATAATCATCGCTATCATAATAACAACAATAACAATAATAATAGATATATTTATATTATTTCATTCATTTTCTCGAAGACCCTCAACAAGGCACGGCTTTTGATTCTCTGAAACTGAAATAGTGACTATTCACTATGTCTTAGGCTAATGTATACCAAACGTAATATGTTGCACTACCAAATAGTGAATACTGCTCATTAAACGATGCGTGAAAGTAAAAAGCTAATATTTATCTTGTCATCTTGTTAACATTTTAATCTTGTCGATGTATTTACGTTGTGTTTAATATTGATGTTTAGAAAATTTTAGATTTAGGATACAATGAAACGATGAGAACTATTTTATGTATGTCAATACAAATGTATTAACTATCACTGCATCTAAAGTTCGCAGAAACAAAACTTTTATTATCCATGAAATGTTAAGCCATGACAAATAAATATGATTGATGTAAGGTTATGATCAACGATCAGTTTATAAAACAAGAGAGCACATGAATATATTATCAATTAATTTATTTTTTCAAATGAATGCGACTTAAAATAATTTTTCTGCCCTCCGGCCGGAAAGTGGCAACTTTCTGGCCGCTGCGCTAAACAAAGTTGCCCCATTCCGGCTACGTCGAGCAGAAAAATAGTATACACACCTTGGCCAGTAAAAAGTAAAGCCTCAGACCACATGTTTGTCAACCTCGGCTTCGCCTCGGCCAACAATTACATGTGGTCTGAGACTTTTCTTATTTTACTGGCCTAGGTATGTAATCTACTATTTAATAAGATACTTAAGACTCGAAAAAATTATAAGTCACCATCTTAGTCGACTTTCGGTCTTTAAATATTTAGAATCAAAATTATAGATCAAAAACGGTATACGATTTCATATTGAGTTTGAAAACAATACATAAAGTCCAAGTACAGTTTGTTTAAGGAGGTCCTTTCGCCGCCAATGTAAAATAAAAAATATTAGATTATGAGTAAATTCAATTTTTTTCTAATAGTTAAGGTCCTTATTTATCTAATAGTGAGGTTTAAATTATACTTTACCGGACAAATTTTTAAACCTCACTATTAGATAAATAAGGAC